AGAGAGAGAGAGAGAGAGAGAGAGAGAGAGAGACGGGGGAAGTGTGAGAGATGAGTGACAAGGAAAGAACGAAAGAACGCGAATGAGAGTGAGAGAAAAAGTGAGAGAGCGAGATATTTAAAATTGAAATATTTTAGATTTAACTTTTAATTTTCATTAGACGATGCACACTTTAATAGTATACAGTAGAACGTTAACATAGCAGTCGATAGTAACGCCCGTCAAACAGTAATTAGCTTGCAGATAAGAAGCAGTAACGTGCTAGCAAGCATATATGACATCAAATTGCGCCAAAGCATGGTTTCCTCTGTCATCATCACACAGATTTTCATTTTCACTCGGCTGTGTAGCAGGGACACTTACATGTAATAAGCAGTGGGATGTCTCGGCTATCGGGTTCCTCTATGCCATTCTCCGCGACACACGTGTAAACTCCTCGATCCTCCTTCGTCGCATTAACGATGGTAATAAATTGACCTCTGCCAAGGAGAATGTAGGCCTATGCGTTAACGTATATATCTCCATCTATTGAAATGTCCGCGCTGTCAGAGTTGAGTACAGGGGGGGGGGGGTTCTCACTGTGGGCAGAGCTGTGAAAAATCAGCGAAACAGTTATGGGACCAGTGCGGTTCAAGTGTAAAATTTGCGGGTGTTCCGGGGCTGGCACTGGCCCTTGCCTAATCATACATTCGCGCGTCCGCTTCTTCACATTATATCTTGATTATATGACACACAGATGGCAGCACGTCTGCACCCAACCTGCGAAGCGGACCCTGTTTCTCAGTGTCCGTGACTTGCGACCCTGTAACGCATGCCAGTGTCCGCCCCCATCATGCTTACACTTACTCGTATTTTACGTCGCCCATAGGCATAGGTATGTTGTTCATTCTCTTCCAGTAGATCGTTGGTTCGGGGATGCCCGTGGCGTTGCAAGACATGTTGACCGTCATGCCCTCGGATATTTGCTCAGATCCGAGGATGTCTATGATCACTGGCCTTGCTGCGATTGGAAAAACAACTGTTACCTTGACGATTGTGCGGTGTTACTCTAATCATCACTCTTATTCTATAGTGTGAGGCCTATAGTAGAATCATAGTTCTACATGTGACGGGAAAATGGCTATATCTGCCATTATACCCTATTGCTGCGAGTCCAATGATATGGTTAACCTACCACACACAAAATCGTGCACACGGTTGATTGATGATGGTGCTGTTTGTGGATTGACGATCGAGCTGGTTTTATCTTGGTGATTTGTGATTGGGCTGTTTTTATCTTGGTGATTTGTGATTGGGCTGTTTTTATCTTGGTGATTTGTGATTGGGCTGTTTTAATCTTGGTGATTTGTTATTGGGCTGTTTTAATCGTGGGATTTGTTATTGGGCTGTTTTAATCGTGGGATTTGTGATCGGAATGTTTATATTTTGGTAATGGAGAATTCGACGCGAAATACTCCTTGCCCTCTTCGAGAGTATTCTGTTTTACTTTGAAAAATGGATTAATTTTATGGTCTCAAAGTTGGTTCGCAGCCAAACACAGTAGCCATAAGGAATTTATCCGCGAGACAGGGTACCTGGTTAATCTAAAATTAGACGTTGTCGTACCCTGATTGGCAGAGCAGACACCCCTTACTAGGCCACATGAGCCAGAGACTAATGGTACGCACGAAAAACGTATTTCTAAATGCGAAAGATGAAACATCGTCTTTAACGTGTAAACATTACATCGTCAGTAGTTAAAGTTCCCATCCCGCGCCCTCTACACAAAAACTTATATACTCTGGTAAAGTTATTTTAGCTTTGCCTGTTTATAGCTGCTTTATAATTACCATTAAATTCCAAACATGTGGCAATAACACGTTATTATACATTATTTTCAACCTATCTTTGAATTAACGATCTCTAGTTGTAACCAATTTAGCTCTTGTGGCTCTCATTAAAACAGCCGTAGAGTAGTATAGTAGCAGAAGTAATTTTGTTGAAATAGACTAATAACATTACAAAGCTATTTGTAATTAAATTTTCATTATGAATCTAGCGAAAGAAATCAATATATATTATATTAAATTACTTTAAACCACATATATATATAGTGCCCTTATAATACTGTTACAAACTACATCATAGTCGAAATATGAAAATAAAAAGAAATTTAGCAGTGTCTTTCACGTTTGTCTATTGCATCAACCTAAAGCTGATGATCTTATTCAAAGCATATCTAGGACAGGTATGACAGAATTAGTAGTTATTAGTAGAGGACAAACGAAACTGTCAGATTTTGCAGTGAATTTTGATAACAGGTAGCGAGGGAAACAGGTAGTCAGGAACTATCAAACGAAAAACCAGGTGGCGTGCACGGCACCTACTTTGTACGACCACGGTCACACTCCTGGTGACAGGAACGCTGGTTGTGATCTGGCACTGATAAACGCCCCCGTCCTCCTTCTTCACCTGCAAAATAAATACGAAGCCTTTACTCATCCTGATTATTGTCCCTAAGTGCATCTTGCGCTATGTTGCTGAGTGATTGCTGGATCTCTATCCAATGTGCACGTACACTCAGAATCGTATTACCTAATAGACTAAAGCTGTGAATCGGCATGTCAGTTCCAGTGAGTTTGCGGTTCGGTGCACGTTGGAAGATCTGACCCTAGCTGAGTGGAGATGTTGATGTTATCTTTATTTTACTACCACGATGATATTATATATGATATGATATGATGAAGATATGAAACCACAGTGATGTACCCACGTCGTCAATCTTGATGCTGTACTCGTTAGTGGCAGTGTTCACTTCCACTGAGATCCTAGAATCGACCGTAACGCGGATGTCGCCCAACGAAATGAGTCTTTGGTAAACTCCTGGTATCAAGTTATGAAACCAAACCACCTGTTAATGAAAGCACAGTGATCAGAACTATTACAGTAGCTATGCATTGCTGCATTTTATACATACACGCACGTACGCGCACGCGCGTGCGTCCACACGGAAGCGCACCCGCACATGGGTATACACATCTTAAACTTCATATTATTTGTATAGGTCTAGGGTGTGGTGAAAACAAACAAACAAAAATTGTGAGAATACTGGAAGAAAAATTACCGTGAATCATATAATCGTGTCTACACGAGAAAAAACGAACGCAGGCTTTTTCGAAACATATTGTAGACGCGGCTTATACGTTATAGCTGAGTGCTAATGGTTCTACGGGATATTACCTTGTTTATTACTGCTACTGGCAGTATCAACGATATAACACAACATGTCTATTAGTAACAACTTGATTGCCAGGCATTATATCCGCGGAGATCGATAAATGCACCTGCTCACAACGAGTTCCCGCCAACGCGTGTGAAAATAACAATAGTTATAGCCGGCGCCTGTATATTAATTCATTAGCAAAAGAAATTGGTAAGCATGGTGCTTGCGATAATTTAAATTTGCAAGGTTAATTAATACAGTCGGTAAAACCCGTTACGACCGTCCACCACCAGCAAAGCCCACCGAACAATATCCCGCCTCCGAACAAGCGCAATAATCCTTACGCACACACACACACACACGCACGCGCACACGCGCGCACACACACACACACGCACACGCACACGCACACGCACACGCACATCCACACGCACACGCACACGAACACGCACACGCACACGCACACGCACACGCACACGCACACACACAAACACATGCAGCACCACTATATCCCACCGCACCCAAACCTCACTTAGCCACACATAAGCCCACCCAACCCTACCCACCCCAAACAACCTCACTGAAGCGCTACACAACGGTTTCATATCAAATGCTTCCAACTTGTTTCACACTTACCCACGTACCCTACCACCAAATAACACCAGCCATCCCTACCCCACCCCGTAAACAACCCCACCGACCACGAAACACGATAACCGTATATATACCCTGCCGTATGTCGCACCCCGCCATACCCTAGCTTTCCTACCAGACCTTACCCCATGGGCTGTAATCACCCACGCGACGATGATGGTTTCTTTAACTGTTTTACTAACAGCAATGACTTGTGAAGTGCAAGAACAACAAAAACAATATTATTTTAAACTTCAAATTATATTAGTGCACTCATCCTTTGTAGTCATCATCATCCAGTGACTCATCTCTGCGCATGTTCAGTTTCCCCCTTGTTAACTCTCCAACTAATTTCGACCTTATTTTTGGACCTCGCCCTCATAGACCCACGAAATATCGGGTTACAACCACGTGTGTGTGTTTGGTTAGTAACTTGGTGCATCATAGATTCGAGTCGTTATTTTACAATTTAGCGAGAAAACGCCTGTTACTCGTCTACGACTGACTTTAGGACATGGGTTTACTTACAACATGAGCTCTTTGCTCTTTACTTCTTGCTCTCTACTACTTGGCTAGGACCTACACACCCCAGGGAAGATAAACGGCCACAAATAGCGATTAGGGCAGGAATGAATCGCATATTAACGCAACTCCCAGATCGTACATGTCATTACTCGAGGGGGGAGGTATAGTTGTGCTACGAATTTTTCAAGGACACGCGGAAGGAAATTATACGGATGGATTTAGTGGAGATTTGTATTAGGTGACTCATGTGCGCCACGCCGGCTGTAGGCTCGCACTCGCGTACCTGCCCGGGGGCAGGGAATGGTACCACGCACTGCGCCCGGGAAGTGCGATGACTTATCCATGCATCTAGCGAAGAGAGCACTGCTTTTAGTCATGACCAGCCCATCGATGACTAAGTGCCCGGATGTCAAGCAGTGGTAGTAGTGGTAGCAGTAGCAGTAGCAGTAGCAGTAGCAGTCGCAGTAGCAGTAGCTGCAGCAGCAGCAGCAGCAGCAGCAGCAGTAGTAGTAGTAGCAGTAATAGTAGTAGTAATAGTAGTAGTAGTAGTAGGAGTAGCAGTAGCAGTAGCAGTAGCAGTAGCAGTAGCAGTAGCAGTAGCACAGCTAGCCAGTGCAGTATCAGTAGCAGTAGCAGTAGCAGTAGCAGTAGCAGTAGCAGTATAGCAGCTAGCAGTAGCGTGCATAGCCAGTAGCAGTAGCCAGTTAGCAGTAGCAGCTAGCAGCTAGCAGTAGCAGTAGCAGTACCAGTAGCAGCTTAAGTAGCAGTAGCAGTTGAGCAATAAGCCATATAGCAATAGCAATAGCCCAGTAGCGTCAGCTAGCAGTAGAGCTAGCAGTAGCATAGCCCAGTAGCAGTAGCAGCTAGACAGGAGCAGTAGCAGCAGTAGTAGACAGCAGTAGTAGTAGCCAGCCAGGCAGCAGCCAGCAGCAGCAGTAGCAGTAGCCAGTAGCAGTAGCAGTAGCAAGTAGCAGTAGCAGTAGCAGTAGCAGTAGTTCACTAGCAGTAGCAGTAGCGTAGCAGTAGCAGTAGCAGTGCAGTAGCCAGCAGTAGAGGTAGCAGTGAGCAGTAGTAGCAGCCAGTAGCAGCAGCCAGCAGCAGCAGCAGCAGCAGAGCAAGCAGCAGCCGTAGCAGCGAGCAGGCAGCAGTGACTTTTTCTTAGTTATCAGTATCAGTATCAGTATGGCAGTGGCAGTGGCAGTGGCAGGGTGGCAGTAGTAGGACAGTGTGCAGTGCAAGTGGCAATAGTAGCAGTAGTAGTGGCACGTTGGCAGTGGCATGGAGCAGTCGGCAGTGATGCGGGACCAGTAGCAGTGCAGTGCGCAGTGCAGTAGCGTAGGGCAGGTGCAGTAGTAGTAGTAGTAGCAGTAGCAGTAGCAGCTAGCAGTAGCCAGTAGTAGTAGTAGGAGTATAGTAGTAGGTAGTGTAGTAGTAGTAGAAGTAGAAGTAGAAGTAGTGTAGTAGTAGTAGTAGTAGTAGTAGTAGTAGTAGTAGTAACAGCAGCAGCAGCAGCAACAGCAACAGCATTAAGCGTAGCTACAGCAGTAGTAGTAGCAGTAGTAGTAGCAGTAGCAGTAGCAATAGCAGTAAGCGTAGCTACAGCAGTAGTAGTAGCAGTAGTACATTTCGTGCTCTCGTCGTTTGGTGGCGAACAGCGCGTAGCCGTGGAAAAAATGCGGGAACGAATACTGCAGGTTTCAAACCCTCACCGCGACGGACTAACCCGCGTCGTGCTACTATATATAGGCCTACGATTGTAAAACATCAATTATGCATGCGCTTCAATTAACGTCCATTTGTAACAGCTTGTTTATGAATTATTTTCTAATGGCAACTGTTGGCCCCCGCCAACGTAGCGGCGTATAGGTATAGTCTGTACGGCTGCTATTTTAAATTATTAATTTAAAGCTCCCCTATCGCCTAAAGAACCAGTGGTGTTCGTATATAGCATGACCAGGGTTCAGTTTTATGTTAGAGTATTTAAACGCCATATTAACATTTACGAGAGAACCCCGGGTCATTCCGTAAAATTTGACTGTCAAGTTGCTGCAAATGTTACCCAACCCGAACCGAATACGTTTAACCCAACCTGGCCAGTTGTGTACGTTCGCCTATGCGGCACGCATACAGATGATTAAGTTTGTAAAATTGCTGCAAATGTTACACAGACCGGACCGAATACGTTTAACCCAACCTGGCTAGTTGTGTACGTTCGCGTATGTATAGCACCGATGACAAAATCGTAGAACACATGATTAAGTCTCGCGTAACAGCTGAAGGGCCGCCTCTTCCACATAATGGGTCGCTGTTAACCAAATATATACAATGATTTTAATGGCGTAAATGTTGGGTGTCCCCACTCCCCATAGACACTTGCAACTTGAGACTTCATACAGATTAATGAGCTAGCATGGGATGCCGCGCCACCTGCTGGTTAGTAAAATTACTGGTCGTTTCGCGCAGAGGAAAATACGATGAACAAGACTAACAGCACTGCCTGCTGTGACAGGGTACGTATGCTCGGTGATGCATTCCAGGATAAGGTACCTTTAATCGTTTATAAATTGATGATGGTCAAAATAGCGTTGTGCACGAAAGCATCCAAGATGCTTCTACGGTGCCTTGGATGTCATTTTACCAGAGACCATAAATACATTATTTAAAGGTCATACACACTTCACGAAAAGGACAGTTTCTATGAATCTAGTCAGCACTCTATGGACCTCGCCCGGGCTCGTTCGCGATTAAGTCATAGAACTTAGTTCACAAACCAGTGACTAAATTGGAACAGCGTAGGTAGTTCCCAGACATACGAACTGTGCGGGTGGGAGATTTAAAAAAACCATGAAACTTGTGCGATCAGTAGAACTAGCCGTGCATCGTTAGCTGGGTAATTGGTACAGTCGATAATTTTTTCAAGTTGACACTAAGATTGTGCTCTCTCGTGTATTCTAGTTCTGAACATGAGAAAAGAGTTCGGTAGTTAACCCCTAGTTCTAGCAAGTGGGGGTTCAGTGACTATTTTCTTAGCAGGTGGGGGACGCCCATCGCGGTTTTCCCCAACTGTCAATAACTAATTACATTCTGGTAGACACGCTTGGCTAGTCGGAGATCACTCGACAAAAATCGTGATTGCTCGGCAAAACGTGGAAAGAGTGGAAGACGGCCATGATGATGATCGAGCACGTGATCGGAACTGAACGTGATTCATCAGCGAAATGCATGTTAGCTGTTTCTATCACGCAAATTTGTTATTATTCTGAGGTTGCTTAGCAATACCCGATTCGATACAACCTGTATGACGCATCCAGCGGTTAAAGTGTGAATAAGTATTTTTGGACGTTGTGTGTGGGGGGGGACCTCCTCCCAAATTTGGATTCTATGCTCTAAAGCACCACATGGGGGACTTTTTAAGTTTGCGCTAAAATGGTGCCTTCTCGTGAATTCTAGGATGAAAATAGAGTTCTGCAGGGTGGAGCACTAACTATTTTCTTAGCAGGGGGCGAAAGCATAGCCACTCGATGCATCATTGAACTTGGTTGACGCAGAACAAGACACAGAGTAGACGTTCTATTGTTTTGCACACGAACACATACACTCCAACGTCCGGCCGTCCATTATTATCCGGTGATGGATTTATATGTCAAACAACGTATTGTTTTTCTTCCGAGTAAAATCTAAATAGGCCCTACATAACTAGCAGGAGGAAATCACACGTCAAATATAAGGGGCACCGAACCGTTCGCTATTACGGATACACATTCGTTTGAATTGTGTAGTTTCACCAAAAATGCCTACTAATATTCACGAATATGAGAAGAAAGCAACGATTTCTCTTCAGAAGCATCGGCACTAGTCATCGCAATGAGGTGTTTTAGGGTTAAGATTTTTTGTTGTGACCAAAGATTATAGGCGCGACTTTTGATTACACATGCAAGGTGGCAATATTCTCTCTTTCTCTCTCTCTCTCTCCCTCTCTCTCTCTCTCTCTCTCTGTCCCTCTCTCTCGCTCGCTCTCGTGCTCTCTCACTCTTTCTTTCTCTCGTTCTCGCTCTCTCTCCCCCCTCTCATAGCTGTCTTCATTACGATATCATACCTGAGCGCTATACTTACATTTGCATCTGATCCGGCATTCTCCACCTTGCACTTTAGCGAGAGCATGTCGCCCTCCCGCAGGGTGACGTTGTCCGACACTGACAGGATGTTAGGCTGGCCGCCCGGAAGCGGAGCATCCTGAGCAGGACCCGGAGGCTGAGCATCCTGAGCAATCACTGAAAACAGATCATCACGCGTTCATCAGATATCAGTTATCAGATATGCTGACGGACGCACGCACGCACGCTTGCTCGCACGCACGCACGCACGCACGCACGCACGCACGCACGCACGCTCGCACGAACGCACGCAACCTCTGCCAATATAAAATTCCCATGTTGCTTCGAATTCAGGCAGTGTTCGTCAGAAACTATTGCGTATACCATGGGAGATATCCATATGACTATAGTCTTGTGGATTTCTCGCATCATTTATTATTTACGATAGCCAACACTGCAGCCAGCGCTTCTCTAAGACAATGAAAAGTTTTGTCGGGTTTCGCACCAGACCGTACTTGTCGTATTGTACGATTTGATCCGAATCATAATAAAATGGGGGGCTATACATAAATAAGTAAATAAATAAATAAAAATATATATATATATAATATACCACAATCTTCATAATACGTGTGTTTGCGTGTTAAACATCAATGATGTATTCACTGCAGTAAAGGCTAGACATGCAAGAGGTAGGCAGACAGTCACATAGCACAGGAACTAGTATCTTAACATGCTTGCAACCATCGAACAGAATAGAAAGGCAAATTCAGTCTAGTGCCTGATGCTCTGTCTCGGTAGGCAATGTAACGTCCCAGTACTGTACTGCATTCATGGTTATAGAAAGGCTGCCATAGCTCAGCGCATTTAACATGATCAACCGATATAACGATCCAGGAGTTACGAGCCACATATGAGATTAAACGTTATATTGGCGTCCGCTAACTTCTTATAAACTTATTTTACGTTCGACCGATCTGTTGACTGTCATGGCCGTGTATCGCCGTTTCCCGAGCTACTTATTTCGTGACTCTTCGCTGACTTACGCTGTATCGTAAAATGCGGAGAAATGAAGGAAGCGAAATCTGAAATCGAATCTGTTTGTAAGCACTTATTTGCAAGTAAATCTTCGTTTCGCGTGCGCCTTTGTATTTCGCGTGTATGAAACTGCTTCTCAAGAGAAAAAACATCCCATCTTACGGTTCCGTGGTCGTAATGCTGTCTGGTTGTAACAGTAACAGCAGTATTGAACAACAAACCGGGGAGAACCAATTCTGTACATTTGCTACACTCAGTGGCGTTTGCGCACGCGTCAGCAACAATGGCAATGGTACGGTTCACCTTCGAAGACGCCACCGAAAATAAATACCTTTGGCAGAAGGTTTTTGCGGAAGATCGGGAGAAAATGCCGGGCGCGTTGTTTTGCGTTTTATGGCGGAATTCCGACCGCTTTTTCTCCAGTGTAGTTCCCTTTGCCCTTTTCGGTTTTTGCGGTGGAATACGCGAAAATATAGGTCGCTTTCGTGGGGGGTTTATGGATCGGGAATTGAGTGTAGCGTTGCTGCGGCTCTCTGCGCCCCCGTGTGTTGTGTGTTTAACGCAAGTTCGTGTACGAGCGAGCGCAAGTGTGGGACAGTACTCTCGTTGCCGCACGTCTGAATGCGAACTCTTCACTACAGCGTAGCCAGGCTCTCTCTCTCTCTCTGTCTGTGTGTGTGTGTGTGTGTGTGTGTGTGTGTGTGTGTGTGTGTGTGTGTGTGTGTGTGTGTGTGTGTGGGCGTGCCTACCTGCATACGTGCATATGTGTGTGTCTGCGTGCGTGTTTATGGTACGTACGTGCGCGTGCGCATGTGTGCGCGCGTGCATGATCGTAGTGCGCCGGTACGTACGCGTGTGCGGGTGTATGTTTACATTTACATTGAGGGCGGATTAAGCGACTGCATGCAGTTATCGTGGGTCAATAAGCGATCGATTAGGAGTGTAATCGATTATCGGAAATTCGAACGGATTTCTGTTAATGCACTGCCTCTGCAGATACGCTGCGCGCGCGACAGTTCAGCGCGGACAGAGACACACTTCACTAATGTCAGAAATGAAAGTTATTACCGAAATGAAAGGCTCCCCATTCTCCAGCATAAACCGTGTTACCTCGCTCGCCTGATCCCAAACGGACGCCATGTCAATTCTAAGATAATTATGCATAATTCAGTATAAATAACGAGCAAGGACGATCAAGGCATTCTGGTTTTTTCTATAACGAGGCAAACGAGTTATGTGGGAGGTATTACCGACCGGGGCTTACTGTGAAAATAGGATAGCGGAGTAAATTGGTTTCGGAGATAGATTCCGAAATAAACTTCCGGTCTTTGCATCCGGATATCGGTAATGTCAGTGTGGTTGGAAGCGTAGGGTGGAGGTTCTTGTTATTAGAATACTCGTAGCTGCCGGCCGCCACAAGGTTGGCATATCGTATAGCTAACAACATTGTAACTTTAACACGAATGTCATCCATCCGTCAACGCGACGCTGCAAGCCAGTGGCCTGGGTATGACCGAATTTAGGTTTACAGCGGCAAGGTGCGGGGTATTTTTTGAAGGTGGCTTATTGCTAATGTAATTCATCTTACATTATTTTTTGAAGAACGAAATTGTGTAGTGAAACTCACGAGGAAAATTTAATTACTGTAAGTTACTGTAAGTTACTGTTAGTTACTGTACTTTAAGTACTGTACCAACTATTTTGCGGAAAGTACAAGATTAATCAGAGTGAACCCTTTCGAACTCTCTGACATGCAAAAGCATGAATGATGTCACTGAAGTCTAACTTTTAGCTTCAGAAATGCGGCCCTGTTCATCTGCACCGTTTGCTCTGCTAGTAAATCGGCCCTGGTAGACGCTACACGGGCTGTCGGTAGAATACATCATCGACGGTCAGCCTTCTTGGAAAGCCGAGAAGGTGCTGGAAGGTCATGCCGGATTCTAACAGATTTAGAACACGTTAGCTAAGCCTCAGCTATACGCACACGCATGCGTGCGTCTGCTGTGCATTCGCGCGTCTGTCCATGTACCCATGCGCATCTACTCCGTCTGCCCGTGCGTTTACTAACAATAGCACCCACTAACGCGTGCATTACCTACTTCTATAACTGCTGCACAACTGCTCAACACGGTCCACTCGTACTCGCAGAATATTTACAATGGAGCACAGATCGGTTGGTCGCACCTGTTGTGCATGGGAAGCACGGCACCGTGCTCTCTTAAATAAAGCTGACTGGAGCGGAATACGCGTACGTGATCCTGCATCGTGAGTCCTAACGATAATAATAAGTTTAATAAAGAAACCCAAAAAAGTTTTGCTAATTTTACTAGAAAAAATGTTAGTAAGACCACGCTAAAACAAATCCTTACGTGAATCTTTACTTAAAGTTATACCAACTTTAATGTAACTCTCACACCAGGCCTAACGCTAACCCTGCATGTCTCTATAGCACAGCCCCAGTAATAACATTGAACATATTATGAGCTATGGCAGTAGTTATATCTAACACACAATCTCCCAACGATAACCTAGCTACGCCTAACCACCCTACTACCATACACCTAACCACAACACTAACACGAGCACCAACCCTAAACCTAGCTGTAATCCTAGCCCTATCATTAACCCTAAACCAAACTCTATCACTCGACCTATACTGATATACAATGGAGAAACAACATGCAACATGTAACGCGCAGAGGCAAGCAGCTCATGCTACTTCAAACCAAATAATGCAATTCCACCGCGGTAGGTAACAATAGACTTTTCGTATTTAGGGTTTGATAACAAGAGGGGGCTCTGCTATTGCATGTATCGTATTGTATCGTATTGCGTTCGTTATCACAACTACTACATTGCTCTCATCGACCACAGTAGTCTCACGCGCCACCGACACCGGCGCCACGCAGTATCACTCCGCCGAACTAAACACAGGAAGTACGCGTATGTTGTCATCGCGGTGGAGTGGAAAATTGGGCGCGCATTTCTGGACGCTGTAACGGCCGGTTCGTGGTGGTGGGGTGGGGTATATCTAACATATATTTATATAGCAGAGTCTGTCTCTGCTTCGCTCCTGTGTGAAATTTCTGTTACCTGTGGCGGGACGCTGATATAGCGCAGGCGCATGAAGAGAGTTTCGCTGCGCGTTTACCTATCGGAGCTTATCTGTTGCCTGTCTCGGTCAACAGGCATCTGTGTAATGATCGGTAGTTTCGAACTTTCGATGCTCGTACTTCGGGTATTGAATAATGCATTGATTGCGCCACCTGGCCGACGACATACAGTCGGTAGCGGTAGCCCCCTCCCCCTCCCGCCCCCACGCACGCGCCGCCGCCGCCGCCGCCGCCGCCGCCCTCTCACTACTTGTCCCTGCAGTCGGGCCCCCTAGCTCGAGAACTATAGCCCTTCGCTCTGCCACAGGCGCTTGTGGCAGAGCGAAGGGCTATAGTTCTAGAGCTAGGCCCCTCTAGACCACGAGAGCGCGCGCGGGTGGATCGGATTCCCGCCACACGGCGCGCGGTGTGATTATGATTATGTGCATGAATTCATTATTCATCAAAAAAGCGCGTCACCGCGCGCGCCCTCCTGGCGTACGGGGCCCTGACCGTTTACTCTCACTGTGTTGTATGTACATCAGCTGATTACATCGGCAGGAAAGCTCATGTAGTAGCGGCAAGACAAACACGGTCCTCTCCCCCGCCCCCGTGGAGTGGTAGGCGCGTGGCCGGGGGGGGGGGTGTATTGTGTGAGGCGGAGAACGATGAAACACGCGCTACTGTTGGCTGTACAGATGCTGCCGTTTGATTGCTCCCACGCGCCCGATCTCTCTCCTTCTCTCGCTCTCTCTCTCTCCCTCTCGCTCTGTCTCTCTCCCTCTCGCTCTGTCTGATCTGTCTGTTTGCCTGTCCGTCCGTCCGTCCGTCCCACGTGCCCGATTTCTCTCTCTCTTCTCTCTTCTCTCTCTCTCTCTCTCTGCTCTCTCTCTATTCTCTCTCTCTTCCGCGCGCTCTACTCTCTCTCTCTCTCTCACGCACTCTCACCGTCTGTCTCGTTCGCTCTCTCTCTCGCTGCCAGCCCGTTTCACATTACCATTGAAGTCAGCCACTTAAACGTCACATGTCGTCTCGCCTCGTGGGTGT